GCTACAAGAGAAATTTGACGCTTTTATTCGTTTGTCTCTTCGTACAGTGTTAATTATTATATATACAGTGGTTTTGTATTGAGCTCGGTAATTTTGTTGAAATTATTATTTTTTATTCAGCATATGTATGTACTACTATTAGTGCAATTAAGCTCATTATTCATTCATAATTTTGACAGCTCTTCAATTCTTCCTGTTTCCTAAATAAAACAGTGTTTATAACGAAAAAACAACTAACTGCATCTTTTATGTGTAATACATAGTACATATTATTGAAATTAATACCAAAGAATAACTTAATTAATAATATGGATATATAATAGCAAAATAGACACATAATATTTTACATTTCAGTTATGAAAGGAGTGGCGTAGATAATTGTACCTTTTGGGACTTATTGTTTCAGTTCTTTATAATTTATTATTAATTACATGCTCGGAAAATTAGTTTTTTAAAGATTCTTAATACATAGAAGGATATAAAGATGATATACTGGTCATTATACATTTATAAGGGGACCTTTACTATTGTAAATTCCACTTCTTATATAGTTAACAATGAAATGTAACAAATTTAGCATCCAGAAGAAAACTGTACGTATCATATTTTTCGATTATTTAGTCTAACTACATAACAAAGTGTGAAATTTACTTAACAGTACTTTTAAATAATTATAATTTTATATTAATAAATATTTAAACGATAAAAGAATTACATTTAAATATTCTTGCATACTGAAATATGCTCCTGTATAGATTATAATTATAACTACACAAATTTCCCTCCTAACACATACTCAAGTGACCTGTAATAGAAGCTATAAAGGCATGTCTACTACCAATTTATTCAGAAGGCAACTAAAGCAGTTATGAGAATTATCTTAGCAAGATGAACAATCATGCGGTACACAATATTCATAAGCACTGTAACAAATAAAACAAGAGTGATTTATGATAATCGTTTCCTGTGGATCAAGGATAATTTACATTGATCCCCGTGTTGGTAGTGCGCCATCAATATAGACAGGGTTGCAATTAGTTCCTCTGAGGTTGTACCCACACGGGATATTTATTTCTTAGCCCATGTTTACTGATTGCTGTTCAGATCAAATGAAACTATCGTAGCCTATTTGTAGATGGAGCATTAATCGATTTAGAACTGTAGAGTCAACAAGCTGTAGAGTCTTTCAAATTAAATTCAGGATTATCTCTAGTCAAGGTTATGAGTGTGGGGGAAGAGGATTATTAGTAATGAGTGCAGTGCACCATGTCGAGTTGACCTCCACCTGGTATACCCTGGACCATCGTGGTCAAATTCTAACGAATTTGTCGCGCTGGACTCTTCTTACCTCACCCAAATTTAATCAAATCTGGTACTCCGCCAGAGAGTACAGTTAGCGCTAACGAGTACACTATTTCATTATTATTCCATATTTCCATTATTATTATATTTAAAAAATTTATAAGTGTTACGGTGCAAGCCTAAAATACCTCGTAGTGTATTTCTACACTAGTAAATGGTGTGCTTTTTGGTGCCATACGTTATAAAAAGTTCGTAATTAATTAGGCACTGTGTACATAGTACACAGTACACAGTACACCTGGTACACAGCACCAGGCTGTAGGTACTGTGTACTACCTAAATGTTTTCCAGTGACCTGCAAATTTATTTGCTATTACGGACTATTTTACTAAATAAAATAATTACTAACTTAATAATAATAACTTTTAGGCTTCAATTGAATGATTTATAGACTTTAAATCAATGAAAATTTTATACATTTTAAATAGAAGATATCTTCAGGTCAGAAAAGATATTCAGTTTCTTCATAAACTCAGTAATATCTACCAGCTTCAAATATTATTATTTTTATTTGTATTGAGGGTCTTGAGCTACTCAGGACACGTGCTATGATCTAGAGCACTGCGACATTGTTTTTGTTTCAAAGTTTACTACCTAGAGACCCGTTATGGATAAGAATTGAAGGAGCAATAGTTTTTATTTCCTCTGGTTAGAGTTTATACTTTTCAAAGCAGATATTTCGTTTATGTATGAGAGGCCTACAACCACATAGGATATGTGGTGGTGTTTCCTCTTTAACTTGGCAAATTGTTGTTAAGCTCAGACCTAATTTTGGCATGTGTTTCAAATATGATACACACTTTACAAAATGTCTTTATGAAAGTTTTCTTACAAGTATATCCTTAATTAGTCGAAGCTCTACGTACGAGTTGAGATTATTAAATGTATTGAAAGTTCAACCTCGTATTCTAAAAAGCTGCTTAAAGTTTGCAGCCGGTGCGTTCTAAACATGTTATTCGTGCAAAGCCAGGCTGGGTTTAGTAACGAATTAGTTTATCTATAAACATTTCATTACTCTCTCGTAGACATTTATTATTAATGTTATGAGAATTAATGTGTGTAATTTTACACCGCGAAATTAACAAGACTTAAATTAATTTTCTAAAGAAAAGCTCGTATTTTCAGCGAATTCATCATGTACGTTAATATCATAACCATATTGAATTATACATGGACAAACAGGAGGTTGTTGTCTCTATATCATTTAAAATATATTTGAAAGATATTTACTTGATAAGTATATATTTTATGCGAGTTTATTCCTATTATAATTCTACCTAAAGTATAGATATATTATATAATGTTTATGAATATTATATTAGTGAAAAAAAAACAACGTTAATATTGTAGTTTCTACGGGATGTCATAAACATTGTTTAGTCTACACTTTTCTTTCTAGACAATTTTGTTTCGAATTCTTTTTGTAATATCAAATTTAAAATCTATAACAATAAAAGTATTTAAATATAAATTAAAAGCACGTGCTAGTCGTAGATCTGTTAAAAATAACAATAATCATAAATATCCGAAAGCAATTTGTAATATCCGAACTTTAGTGTAAATATGCGTTACTTTTATATCTGCTCTATTTATTATGAAGGATTATATAAATGAATAACTGAATGATTATTTGCCAAAATAGCACAAGTAATACGAATTACACAAATATTAAGTTCTGACTGAGTTAGAAACTCCTTGTTACTATCGGTCGAGCAAATCAGAACTTTGTGAAGTAAGGCTATTTATATTCGAGGACGTGTATGTATCCGCCCTTATAATCTGTAATCTTTGCCACCTTTGCTTATGTTGTGTGAATGTTTGATATAAATGAGGTTCATTAGACTCGTATAATGTTACGTGATATGACTAGTGATACGCAAAATGCGCGCATGATTACGTGCCGTGTGGACCTTTTCTGGGACGTCAGACGTTTATTTCTGTGGAAGCGAGCCGTTGCGGTGTTGGTTAAAGTGTGACGCCGCGTCAGTGCGCCGTAATTGAATCTTGTGGGTCGCCCTCTGACCACCTCCCACGATTGCTTATGAAAACTGCTCGCTCCGACTTGTGAAATTGTGCAAATGAATAAGATTATCGGCAATTTCACTATGTGGTATAATATAATGGTTCATAAAAAATGTAATCTGATTATCTTTAGAAACAACTTTCAAAATAATCGGTGCGATATTTTATATCAGAATTTTCATATTATTTACATACATTGGCATTTCTATTGGTCATTTTTTTCTTGCCATTTCTGAGTTAGAAATTTTTTTAATTTTACTGATTTTATCGAGAGACGTTTCCCTCGATAAAATTAGTAAAAATAAAAAACAAAAAATTTACTTTCTGTTTATAGTATTTGGTGGTATCATAGTTGCTATACAGACTTTACTAGTAATATAAAATATTTTTTTTTTGTTTAATCTTGAAAATAAAGCTTAGCTTATATATTTATTAATTTATTACCATTTCATATCAGTCAATTGCATTTTCTAACAATGTGAATGATGAATGTTTGGACATAATTTAGAAGGTCAATTAGATTGTTTTTTCTCGTGTTTCTAAGTCGGATTTTGGGTGAATATAATCTTAATTTTAATACAGTCTTTTATTTAGTAGATAACCGTTTTAAATTGAATGTCAAATACAGCGTGCGAAGGGTTCCTTTTTCCGATGGTCCTGCAGTTAGTTACGAGAGTTGAGATTATATCGTAATACTCGTTGATCAAGCCATGAAACCAGTCCTATCTTCGCAAGTCGACCTTTTCAATAAAATTTAAATTATCACAGTTGCGATCAGGTCTCATTTCCTTTGAGGAAACGTCTTTGTTGATGATCTGTTTCTCGTTATTCCAAAGGTTTTGATTGTTGTTGAAGGCTTAAAAGACTTTTTTATAAAACGATTTGTTGCAGGAAGCTGCTGTCTTTCATTTTCCGTTTTGTATAATTTTTACTAAAGGTTAGCTAGATAATGAGGGAGAAATAAAATTGCCGGCCTGTCGGCCTTTAGAGGGGTGAAATGGGTTGAGAGTATTTGTTGAAAGAAAGAAAATAGTATAATCATATTATTCTTATACAATGACTGTAAGAGGAAATTCGCGTAGCTAATAGATAATTAAAGAGTGGCAAACAACGAATAAATCACTTATGAATAAAAATCACATATAACTTTTATTAATATTATTATATTTTAATATTGGTTAATGATAAATGAAAATTAATTACAATGCATATATTGTATATACATATTTATAATGATGATAACGTAATGGAAATTATTATTATAATTATAAAATAATAATATACCTAATTATAATTTATTAAAAATAATAAATTATAATTAGGTATAGGTACCTAATATCTCCATTCTATCTATATTTTTATATTTTTAAATCAAACTCTTACTCCTCAGATAGAGAGAACATAATGCCATTAGTTTCTATTTTATCTACAGATATATTCGTTTCTATGACAAAGCTCAATAAATAATCACTCGAAATTCTCACCAAATTTGAAGGTAAGGGCCGTATGCCTGTTTGCCACCATAGCAGTATAAAAATATTGTAAAAATAAACTACTATATTATTATGTAGGCATGATTATATCACTGAAATGATATATTAAAATGTTTCTTTCAGGTGGTTAATCGAGAGACACATGTTTCCGTCATCGACGAAAGCGGCCTGGTGGCTAGCTACATTTTTCAGTGTATTCGTTACAGGTCAGTATCTAATTATAATTAAATAAATATGAATCATAAGTACCTACCGCACTAAACTTTATACCTTACAAGATGATTAGAATTTATAAAATGTTTCAAGCAAGAATAGTTAAATAATGTATTACTTATAAAACTATATTAGAAGTCTTATATTCTAGATTAAAATAATAGATACAATAAAACATAATGTAAACAAAAAACATTATTATTTTAATTATGTTATATAAAGGCAATATCATATTCTCATTGAAGTGAAAACGGGAGATATTGGAATAATAATAGTACCTACCGTTTTGACATATTACTGTTATTGGCAAAAATGGGCTAGAAAAAGTAGAATATTCAGTTGCATCCTTCTCATAAAGAGAAAGAATTCTAAGTTGTGTTTATATGTGTTTCACTTCAAAGTAGACATTACTAAGTTAGAAACAAAATGTCTAGTATAAGCATACACACATATATGTGATTATCAACGACAAAAAATTTGTGACGTAAACAAGATTTCGAAAGGCTTGCTACATGCCTAAATGAATAGTAATAGTAGATGAATTTGAATTTAACTACAAGTATCTAAATCAAAGATCTTTTTTTTGAATCTATGTGCTGTAAATGAATCAATAATTGAATTAATTATTTGTTATGTAATATTGAATGCTAATGACTGATATTCTACAGGACCAACCTTTTATAGAATGTTATTGGCAACAGGTGGCAACGAATCACTGCTGACAATCGCTTAAGAAACTTACAAACATTAGTTCTTTACCGGCAAGTCTGAAAGAAAACTATATGGCACTGCTACAGTATGAGTAACTCTCGACGGAATCTTAAAATTGCAATAGAAGTTATTATAGACGTAATTTTATAGCGAATACATGCAAATCTCCTCGCGTTCAAATGCTAGAAAGACAAATTGGAATAAAATGTTGAAATTGTTAATATGTCAATGTAATTTTCACATACCTATAATATTTTATAAGTTATATCTACAGAACAGACTGACCGACAATTAATGGAAATTTATAGGTTTGTTAACTTTCTTAAAAGTAGATCAAAATATTCCACTAATCATGCTTCAATTAAGAACATCGACAAGCTAATACCCTTCTGTGGGGGAAATTTGAATATTAATTTATTAGAAATTTGTTGTAAGAGACTTATTACTTCTTTTCAAGATATTTAGCGGTTATAAAATGTTTTATTTCTTTTAATTATATATAAATGTTTCACTCCGAACAAATATTCCTTAGAAGCTTAACATCTCAATCTTTGTATTAACTTAATTTAAGCTGAAAGAACTAATATAAGTTTTATTCGATATTTATTGCCACTTTATGGTAAAAATACGTATCTTACATACTAAATCATTTTTAATATATGTCCATAAAATGTATATGAATAAAATTTTATACAGGTGAGATGCCCATTCAAGCGGAAATAGAACCTGAATTCTTGCAAGCATTGGAGAATCACACGGTTACACAGGGGCGCGACGTACATTTCACTTGTGTAGTTAATCACCTTTCAAATTACAGGGTAAGTATTATATCCATCTAATCATATGTGACTTATTGATGTCTGTATATGGAAGGTATCTGAGAAAAAGTATAATATTAATGGGGGACTTTATGAACCCAGAATAATGATTTTGTCTTAGTCTATGCGTTTATGCGCGCTAATCACAGAAACAGCTTAAGTTATTTCAATGCTTTTTTAAAAATCTTATGGTAACCAGAATAACAATATTCCCTCTTCTATTTCATCCCTTTCAAGGTAGTTTAGATTAGAAAAATAAAAATAAAATTCATTGTAGTTAGTTCACCGATATGAGCTTGGTATGACAACGTAACAAACATATATGTAGAACTACTTTCGCAATTTATATTCGTTCCATTAGTACAGACATGCACATTGATTGCATTCTGTACTTTTAGAAAAAAAATACTCAATATTATTTGCCACCTAGTAAAATAATCAAGTAAATGTACTTTGGAATTTCAAATAAACTGCAATATGAATAAAGTATTCTCATAACTGTATGCTATGATAACATTCCATAGACTATTTCTGTTTGTTTACATTTTATCTCTTATTCACTTGTTTTCTTTAAGTATTATTTTTGCCAGTAATATAATATTGCTACTACCTGATAAGTTAAAAAAAGTTGCTATAGCTACTTTCGACTGTAATGTAATATTTAAGTTCGGAACTATTCGATGATAAAACTTTAAGTACCAAGTAAAAGAATCCTCAAAATCCATCCTCAAACAGTACAGCGCAATATAAACTAAAACATTGTGAATCAGCTTAACTTAGTTGTATTGTCATAAGAATAAATCTGCTATTTAATATCGTGTAATATTAATTTATTCATCTCGTAATCTAAAATAAATTATTTATCTACATAATTTATTTATATATATATATATATTATATATATATATATATATTGTATATAACAAACAAAATAGCAATTCATGGCTTCGTACGTATATGGTATGTCGGAAAAAATTGTTTAAAGAGATTAGGTACTTAGCGAAGAAGCTATGAGAGGAAACTATTTTTATTTTATTTGTCGCTGTAATTCTCTAATTTATTTTTATGAAAATTATAAATATTTAAAAGAAGTAGGTAAAGTACAATTTATATTTTTCTAATATACTATCAGCGAATATGAGTTATAGTAACATTAGTGCAGTAACTAAACAGTGTTCCGCGGCAGGATTCCTGTCACGTTCAAAGTTAAGTGGCGAGTCTTCGTGTGCAACATTAACTGTTAACTTCTTAGATCAATTGTACTATTGTTATACTCGTCTATCTTAAATGTTGTAATTTTAAGTATTTTTTCAATATTTATATAGGTAATATAGTATAATAGGTATCGATAATAAAAATAAGGAAGATAGATCGGAATACGAAGATTTATTGAAGTATGACAAGAAGTGAACAAAAAAAAAAAAGTTCTCTTCTTATACAATTTTGTTTTCTTAAACAAAAGCTTAAATAAAAATATATAATATATTTGATTAGTTAACTACAACCCCAAATAAATATAATAAAGCTAATAAAACAAACATAGTCTGATAATATATTCCGAAATGAACAGGTTTTTTATAGTAGTAGTGCAAAATAAATCAGTGGTTCGTCTTATGAAACATCTTTTGTATAAGTGTAGATGTGAATTACTAACATAGACTTAAAAGAATATATGATATTAATATATGAATCAATGTGTGGTCACTAATCATTTAATAGTTGTGTTTCGTTCAGAGGGACCATATAGAGAATGACCTGACGGGGTATATTAGGGCTACTAAATGCCCTCAGTCAGTTAAGCTATTAATAATAACAATTTTATTCGTAAGTGAAAAATCACTTACATTTAAAATTATTATTATTAAAGTCAAATTACTCCGGCTCGTCGGACCAAAAATCTTGTAGAATAGAAAGACATACTATACTTTAAAATATACTTAAAAGGGTACATTAGAAAATGTCATGTAAACATGGATCTGTAATATTATGCATCTTAAGTACATTAGGTATCTGTATACTTGTATGTAAGAGATTGCTAATAGCGATAAGGCCTTTTGTAAGACATTTTTATTGTATTTTATTGTTCTTTGTTTATTTGTGTGCAATAAAGATTATTATTATTATTATTATGATTAATATAATCATAATAATGACTGATATGAACTAATATTTTTGTATCAAGAACATAGAACGAAAGTGACAGGGTTAAAATATCCTAAACGAATAGATGCTTTTGATATACAAAGTTTTGCAGTGGGAAAAGGGAATACTAAATTACTATCATTGTTTGGGTTCAGTCTGAAAGTAAAATAAATTGATTGACAATAATTATCCACAACCATAATAATTTAGCCGTACCAATTTAAATCCGTCAATATTATATGTATAGTAATTGCGCTTTAAATTTAAAATGAGTTTCAATGCTACTCGTAGTTTAAATAAGCATTTAATTTTCACATTCTGGAAAATGACGAGTGCATCATTCAGATAAAAATTAGTATACGTTTTAATATTATTCTGGATATGTTTCTATAGTATACGTTCTATAGGTATTATATCAATTCTACATATATGTATAGTTTTGTTTGAATTTATAAAAAAATATTTAAGTATAGCTTTCAACAGTCGCGTACCTATTTATAATACAAACTCTTAATTTGAAAATAATGTCTGAGAGTTGTCTAGGGTATTTATTTATCAACGTGGTATATTTTTTAGAGTAACTGTGAGTAAAAATACCACAGTAGTTATACAATAGAATAACGTTGCGTATCAGATTTGTTAGGTGGCTTCAAAATCGGAGGAATGTTCAGAAATGCCTAAGGTAGACTGTAAAAAGTCGTTTGCGAAGGTCGCATCTATTTCATCCGCCAAGCACTTTACTCTGTAAGACGTATTTATGTTGTAGCGTGCGATTAGGAAGTGTAATTATGGAATATGAGGATATGAGGCATGACATCTTAGTCCTCTAGAATAGCAACGTGTGAGTGGTACCACAGTTACATAACATGCGTACGTAATGTTTATAGCGATGTTCATGTTTAGTTCAGTTTACCACTTTTTACACCATCATGTGGGCCCACGGCTTGTTTTTTTAATTTCAGTTACATAAAAAATGAAATTTATTTATAATTATTATTATTGTCACTAGTTACCATGGCGTAACGCCTGGTAAATTGCTGTGTGTGGCACAATAAGCTGACACCGCTACCAGGAACAGCAAATTACCACGAATCGGCACCTAACACCAATTATTAATTGTTATATTTTTACAGTAGTCTTGTTCGATCTTTAGACATAATTACACTTTTTGTACTTTAATAATTTCATTTGTTTTAATTAAATAAAATATATTTTTTAAAAGGCAAATATCGCCCGCCGTAACATAAGTGGCGCAGTCGGTAGGATCGCGGCACTCTAGGACTTTGCAAATAGAAGTCCTCGCGCGAATAGACTCTTCGTGTGTTGAGAACTAGAGTGAACGGTGCTAATCGTAACTATCCGCGATCTCATAATAAGAACTATAACGGCGGCATATTGAAGACTTGCGGGAATCCGGAAAATTGGAGACCTGTGATCGACGAGACCCGAAACGGAGATGCAGAAGATGCTGTGTTGGTGAGTACTCTATTACTTTCCAAGTACATCCTATGCTCTATTTCCTTTCGTATTTAATTATAAGTGAACTTTAATGTGTATCTGTCTATAGGCTCGTATCGCTATAGATTTCACAAGTCAATTTAAAATCAATTGAATTCTGTGTGTATACACGTATTAATAGTAGTATAGTTATTATCATAAATATAAAATATTATTAAAATGGAGTTCGCAGCCGACTATAAGATGATTACTGACCTCATGCCCAAATACGATGGGAACCCTAAAAGATTAAACTTTTATTTAAGAGAAGTTGATAATTTAATGGGACTTATCCACCCAACAGCGGATGCAGGCTCTCTAGCTATAGTTTGTCTTATAAAAAGTCGCCTTAGTGGTGCGGCGATTGACGCGATAGCTTATGAGGAATCATTAAACAGTTGGCCCGATATAAAACGCGTTCTACTAACACGTCTAGGAGAACCTAGGAACGAGATTCAAGTTATGCAAGAGCTCACACGTATCCGTCGGAATAAAAACGAGGATGCGGAATCCTTCGGTAAAAGGATTAGGGACCTTTTAGATACTCTGTATATGGTTGGGCAACACACCGACAAATCGTACTATGAGAAAATGGCTATTGAGCAATATATCAGTCAATTGGACTTCCATATATCAATAGGCGTAAGAATTATGATGCCAGGTACATTGGAACTTGCAATAGTAACCGCACGACAGGAGGAGACGAAATCAGTTACTTATAAGAATAATTCTAGTTTTAATTCCCAAAACCAACAGCAAAAAGCTACAAAAATAGATAATTATAAACCTAATAATTTTCCACGTCAATTTCATGGTCAAGTAGGTACACCATTCAATTTTTCAACGCAGCTACATTTTTCACGACAAATGCCATTTAATCAATATGTACCTCAACAAAATAATCTCAGCCCGGAACAACGGCAACAGTTAGTTAATTCATTATTACCCTGGAAGAATAGACCAATCCCCGGTAATTTTAAGCAAAACTCAGGCAACTTTAGGAGTAACAATAGCCATCAAAGACAGCCGAACGTTCCACAGCAACAGGTAAGTCCGACTCAACTTACATCTGACGTCACTATGCGATCGGTTAACAAACCGACACCTCCACAATACGCATACGAGGAATTATGCTACACTCCGTACGAAGGTAAGTCCGACACACCTCAGTATTATTGCAACCCGTTAGATTATTATTCCCCTCATGACGAACAGCATAACAATTACTACCCTAACACTAACTTAATAGAAGAACAAATTGAAACATCTCAGGATTTTTCCGAAACTCAGGACGAAGACGACCAGAGTTGATAAAACTAAACCACCAAGATAAAGATCATCTCCCGTACATAATAATCCCC